TGATTGGTGTTATCAAAATTAAATAGGGATGATGAAATCAGCAGAAAGTAGAGACGCAGAAAGACAATGCAATCTTGGTAAATGTTACCATAAGGCAGAATTGATATTCGACCATTTGACCGCAAATTCGTTAAAAAATTCTTAATCGCAGCCAAATGTCAAGGAATCGAAACACAAAGAGATAAGAAAGCATTCGAATGGTATTTGAAATCAGCAGTGGATGGACATGGAGGAGGATAATTTATCTCGGTTAGAGTTATCCGAATAACATTGACGCACAAAAAAGCATTCGAATGGAAACACAGGATGACAATATAATCTTGATAAATGTTATCGTAAAGGAATTGGAAAACAAAAAGACGAGAAGCAAGACTTCTAATGTTATTGAAATCAGCAGAGTGTGGAGTCGCAGGATTACAATTTAATCTTTGTTGGTGCTATCAAAATGGAATCAAAACACAAAAAGACTTAAGTGAAGCAAAAAGTGGTTTAACATTGCAGCTAGAAATAATCCTGAATTTTTATTATTCACAAAATTATTAGTTTTTCATAAAGTATATTTTTCTCCTCGAAAATCACTTTCGATTCTTTTGTACTCGTATTTTTATTATTTTGACTTTTATATTTCATTCTTTAGGATAATATTTTTATAGAAAGAAATCTGCATCTATTTAATATTTTTTGTATATAGGACAAATTATCCCAACTGCTTGATTAACAGAACATTATTTTTTGATTTAATTTTAACGAATGCTAAAAATCAAAATTCATATACAGAACTAGTTTTGATATGATACATGTAATTTGAATTAATTGATTTTTCTCCATAATCATAGTCTTTCTGAAAACAAATAACATAAAACTTACATACATACATACCTCTACGATACATCACCGGCAATACCGAAAATGAAACTATCACAATATTTCAAAATCCAGTGATTCCATTTAAATATTACCATAAGGTTCGTGGGTTCGAGACAAATTTAATAGAAGTATTTATTATGAGTTATTGGATTCCAGATTCGTTTAGTATATATTGTAAGGGTGTGTAATCAAATAGTTATTACTTTGGCAAGTGCGAATTTTATTTCGGTAATAATATAAAAAATAACATTCGGTGATTTTATAACAATATAAACTAGCCAATACCATGTAAGTTCTTTAAGTGGAAAAAATATGGTTTCACCTTTTCGCACTTTTTAACTTATGATATACTTGTATAACAAGATCACACAATATCTGGGTTATTGTATTATGTATTTCTTGTTTCAGGGAATTTCCAGAATGCGGCATCAAAAATATGTTAACAATATAGATGTATACAATTTATATTCTATATACAGTTCAAAATATAGCGATACATGTATAATGAAAAATTGCGACAAACAATATACGCAAGATTAATGAAATTGCAACATGATCGTTCTAAAAGAAAAGTTCACTGCTTTGTGTTTCGTACGATTTGAATTTAATTTGTGCATTGCGGATTGTTATTACATGTAGGTAGTTAAGTGTATTCTAAAGTCGAAACATCCTTAAGCAACTTTTCTTTCTCTTCTTCGAAACATCCATCACACACTATGAGTAAAAACAAAGTCAAAAAAACCATAATATCTGAGGAAATCTTGAAAATTTTTATTGATTCTTGTATCCATGATGAGCCACAGAATCGTATAACAGATAGGATCGCAACGTTGATTTCTTCAAGTGAAGAGAAACTCCGATACACGCCAAACAAATTATTTCAGCTAGTCGTTCAAAAATGCAACGACGATAATAACCGTAACTCAAAATATTTCGTGTTATTGGGTTTTTTTAACGCATACGGATTCGGGACACTACGTAATGAAGCGGAAGCATTTAAATGGTATCTGAAAGCAGCCGAGCAAGGAGACATAATTGGTCAACTACGAGTCGCCATTTATTTCGAGTCGGGAATACGGAAAGATATAACGAAAAGTAGGTACTGGTTCGAGAAAGCTGCAAATTCTGGGCTCGCGATTGCTCAATATCGACTAGCCAGAAGCTTACAAATCTCCACCGAAACTGATAACGACGATGTTTCAAATTCGATATTTTGGTTGGAGAAATCGGCGAAAGCTGGATTCGATAAAGGAATTCACGTGTTAGCCTGGATATATGAACGAGGAAAAGGCGTGCCAAAGGATTTTAAAAAAGCATTTCATTGGTATAAGAAATTGGAGGATTCAAAATCGGGAAAAGCGACGAGAAGTTTGGTGTTGTATTGTTTGAATGGGTTTGGTACGGTGACAGATAAACATGAAGCTATAAAGTATCTGTATCGAGCATTGAAAAATGGAGTTTATTGTAATCAATTTTTGGGCACCATAATTTAAAGATATCATTAATTAAGGTAGAAAAGGATTTTTCTTTAGTGGGTCTTATTTGGTTCAAATGGGTTTCTCCTAACTTCAATGAAACCTACTAGGAAATCCGGAATTCTCTGTAGGTTCAAAACAAATATCAGCCCTCATCATTAACTACGAGAATGCCAAGATTAAATTGGACCATTCTAAACTAAACTCAATATGACGTAGTATAATAATATTATAAACCAAATACGGTAACATGCACGTATAACGAATAACGTATTGCGATCAAACACGTATCTTTTGTTGACCAAAACTAAATAGAACACATTGGTTAATCTTTTATAAGATCAAGAACACAAATGCATCACAATAATTGCAGGAAAAACGTTTCGCTCCGAGAATGATGTGAGCGAGATAAAATTGCGAATACAAACATGTGATTTTTTATAATCTTTACACACGATCGTAATAATTGACCCCACCCCCCCCCCCCCCCCCCCCCCCCACCGCCCCCCCCCCCCCCCCGCCCCCCCGCCCCCCCACGCCCCTGCTCTACCTCGATCGCGCGCGA